TGCGGATCCAGGCGGAGCAGCGGAAGGAGCAGCACATCGATGGGCGGGCGCCACCCCTGCCGCGAGTTGCTCGGGTCTCGGCGCCCAGGTGAGCCAAGGGCGCTCCCCAGCCGCCCCCTGCGTTAAGTACCTGCCAGGAACACCTGAAGAGCGACACCCAGGCTGTATTTAAAGGACAAAACGGCCCATCGTTTAGGCCCTTACTGCTGAAAACACTAAAAAAAACCCCAAACTGGGAGCACCCCCCCTGCCCTGGCACTGCGCCTCCCAAAGTCCTGTCACCGCGTTCGGGCTTTGTGAAGTTAAGATCAAGTTAGAATCATAGAATCACTTTGGTTGGAAAAGCCCTTTAAGATCATCGAGTCCAACCTTTAACCTAACCCTGCCGTCCCACCACTAAACCCTGTCCCTAAGCACCTCATCTCTCCTTCTTCTAAATACCTCCAGGGATGGGGACTCCACCACCTCCCTGGGCAGCCCCTTCCAGAGCCTGACAGCCCTTGCGGGGAAGTTTTTCCTCATGCCCAGCCTAAACCTGCCCTGGCACAACTTCAGGCCATTCCCCCTCGTCCTATCAAGTTAATGGGGGAAACCCCTCCCGCCTCGGAGCGGGGTGCAGGCAGCCAGGTGATGCCACCCACACCCCCTCGTGTGTAAAACCCTGTGCACCGTCCCCCAAACACCCACCAGAGCCAGCGTGTGCAGGGAACCGGATGAAAAGTGGGATTTTAAACCGCCTTTCCACCCCCGTGGTGCAAACCGCTTGGCAGGAGCGGGCGAGAGCCGACTTACCCCCGGTACGGGGTGCCTGGGGGTGACGGGTGGGAGCTGAGAAGGCGGGGGGCAGGCTGAGGGAAGGGATGCGGACCCGAGGGTCGGAAACCCAGAGCGCTGCAGCCATCAGGGTCACGAGAGGCTTGCAGGAGGAAATAAAAAAAATAAAAAAAAAAATAAAAAAAAAAGAAAAAAAGCCCTGTCTGTGCTCCCCGTGAAGCGGGCGCCCCGAGGCAGGGTCTGTGCTCCCCCTGAAGCGGGCGCCCCGAGGCAGCGGAGCCCTGCGGCTGCCACAGGACCCGCTCCTGGCAGCAGAGCTTCCAAACCCACCCCGGGCTGCACTTCAGGCGCTATCCCACTGGTGATGGGAAACCCCGCACGGAGCTCCACGCGCACGAGGTCAACGCCGGTCGCGGAACAAGGAAATGCAAAGGGTCTCAGGGTGGTTTATTGCTGTCGTGTCTGCCTGCAATACAAATAGTCACAAATTCAGACAAGGCAATTACAAAAATCTAATTTCTGTGTGTAGATGTTTGTATGTGCACAATATGGGGGGGGGGGGGAACCACTACAATAGAAGATAATTTAGAAACAAGTTCAAGAAGGAGATGGAGACAATGGTGGTCAAACATAGCTATTTATTCTCTCTTATAAACAGCCTTCAGTTTCTTACTGAAAAAACCCTAGCATTTAAATATTTTGTCCCATCACATACAACAATCTGTATACATTATTTACAGCTCAAATAAACACGTTGCAGATTTTCAGACATTCAACTTCGTGGTTTGTTTTTTTGTTTTGTTTTTTTTTTTTTTTCTTCTCTTTAATCAAAAGCTGTTCTCATTTAAAACTAAAATATCCATCGGTGGCTACAAACTGAAGCAGTATTGGCACAGGTAGCTTACGGTAAGGGTTCTCATCTTGCAGTTTATATTTTACACCGCATTTTCTCTCATGTATTTTAGGATTCTAAAGGAGGAGGAAAGGTTAGTGTTGCTTTCTTAATATTATTTTTTTCTCTTCGCCTTAAAAAATGGCCTTTTATTGAAGCCTCATTCGCTTATATCGCATTCTCCTCTCTCCCCCCCACTGCACATCAAGGTTTGTGCTTCGGGGTCCTAAGCAACACAACCTCGGTGTCCCCAAATCGTAAAACACACATGAAAATAAGCGTTCCCTCCGCGACACGTCTCTGAAAAATGTCAGAAGTTGCAAATGTACAAAAATAATGAGTATAGTTTAGTGGCTATAAAAATTAATCTCCCCTAAAAATACAATACTCTATGAACAATTTAGGGAATTTAGGGAATTCAAAGGAAAAGGGAGTTTGGTATTTACCTAGACTGCAGTCTTAACCTGGCGAGAGGAAATTGTAAGAAAAGCAGGAAAATAAAAAAGGTTGAACGCTTAAAATAACCAATGTTAGTCTCATCTTAATAGAGAAGGACGTCCAGGAAAGGACGACAGGCATCCATAAAACTGCGAGTGGTTTTAGTGGTGCAGTTTAGAAAAAAACAAAAAAACACCCAACTGGAATCAGCAGGGAAGGAAACAAGATTCAGTGTGAGAGGGCATCTTTCAGCCAAGGAAAAACAAGGCGCCTGTGCTCGCGCTGCAGCTTTTTAGATAGTCCCGCTAAAAGGGGGCGGTTTATGTACAGTAACACAGCACTCTGGCAGGTAGGAAGGGGGGAGAGGGTAGCGAGAAAAAGAACCCCCCAAAAAGGATGTGTTTGTAGTAAAATTGTGTCTGGTGATTCAAGAGGAAGGGGGAGCGGGGGCAGAGAAACAGAAAGGAACAATCCAAAAGGTCAGTGAAGTCCATAGCAGCAAATAGGTATCCTTACCTGTTAAATGCCTGTCGGGGAGACTGGGAGTGTTCAGTACCGAAATACTGACTAAGGACAGTGCTCCTCTCTATCTTAAAGTAAAAGCAAAAGTTCAGAGCCCTACATTGCATAGTAAGCAGTAAAATAAACCTGATCCTTGCAGATGGGCCACCTGCCCCTCGGAACCTGTTTTCTCTCTTCATCTACCACTCAGCTACCTGGAACAGCCGAGCGTGGCGGGCTGATTTTCCTGATTGGAATGATTAACCTGTATCCCTGACTCAGATCTGAAAGACTGGAAAAATTATTTCTGCGAACGTAATGCATCCACACCACCTAAAGGGCGTCAACATCGGCAACGGTGGCCGAACTTGATGAACTTAGCAGAGTTAGCCCCATCCCGTCTCGAGGTAGCTGACCTCCTGCAGTTACCACCCGAATCGCAGACACGGCGGCTGGAAAACCCCGCCA